TGAAATCTTGTTCCTACTTGTACAGTAACAAGAAGAAGATATGAAGTTTTTTACAACCGATGTTTGCAAGCTTTAATTATAGGTGCCGTTGGAGATCACGACTATTCCGATGATGACCGCGACAGCCGTTGTGGAGCATGTCATTGATGAAGGAAGCCCGTTGTTCGATTTCGGAGGAGACGAATTTAAGGATCGACATGATCATGCTTCATGTCATTGTCAGCAGTATGATTTCTTGATGACATTGACATGCATTATGATTTGACAGATTTGACGACATAGATATTCTTTTATCTTCTGGTAATGTTTGAGTTTGGACTAGGTGATTCGTGAAATCAAACGTTATAATTTCATCTTAACTTGGTGAGGTCGTCCTTTCTGGAATGGCCAGGCCTTTGGTACTCGATGACCTCAGGCTCAGCATTCCGCCAGAGGAAGGAGTTGAAGACGGCATGGCGAGGATTTTTCAGCTTTGGTACCGATGTCTTTGGAGGGAGAAGTAGAACCACGGAGATGAACCTGAGCCTGCAGCTGCAGGCTGCTACGTCTTCTAATGATCGGTTCGTTATTTCGTTAAACGAACAAGAGGACGACTGCGACTCCCGCTGTTGATGACGATAGCTACACGCGCCTGTTGATGGAGATAGCTACAAGACGCGCCTGTGCTCCGGGATGGTCGTTGTTGATAGAGATAGAGCCACCAAGCTTCCCCTGTCGTGCCAGTCCTGTCACTCTCCTTCTTTGTTTGAACTCGTGTCCATGTACGTTCTTCTTGCTTTTCATGAAAATGTTGGGGTGAACAACAAGAAGATGCATGAAGGGATTGCTCTTTCGAAACTCTAATATACAGAAGAACTGAACGAGACCGCTTCCTGAGAATATCAGCTCGCTTCTTTTAAATCGCTTCTAGGTAAATTCTTCTATCATGCTGGGCCATTGCTGGTAGATGATTTTTCTTGTGGTTTTCTTGTCCTGCTTTCAGTACAACGACGAAGCAAAATGGAAAATATCAAACGAGGAGGACGACGAACCGATGAAAATATTCTTGATAATCACGACCAGCACGAGAATCCACCGCTGCAAAGATATTCGACGTCGAGGAGGATAAACGATACATAGCGCAATAAAAATGACAGTTCTTCAAGATAAGTATTTCCTAGCTCTTGCAATTCGTCTGCACAAGAATCGTGCTGGTCTCATTTTCATAACGTATTCTCGATGAGGATGATCTACTTCAGGCAAAGTCGTGACTCGTCGTCGTCAGGCAACTACCGGTCCAGGTCGGATCTTCAGGCAACGGGACCCCAGAATATTCGGACGCCGTCTACGAAGGCAATATGAATCGCATCCATTTCGCTGTCGTCGTTTAGGAGCAAAGGCAGAAGAAAAATGATCGAACAGAGAAACCACCACAAAGTTCGGAAAAAGAAAATTAGAAACGAATGACGTGGAAGCCAGGTCTAGGTCAAGGTGGAAATGTATGAATGGTGCAAGGGAATTACAAGTAAAAGTAAGTAGAAGGTGGCAATCATGTAAAAAGTAAGTATGAATGCATGAGGTCGTGAAGACGAGAACGACGAAGTGCAGGTGTACGACGTGTAGGAAGCGAATAAATAAAATTCTCCTCTTGGTACTCTTGATTCGCAATGTACTAGTGGAGCTAGAGCGGCTCGACTAGAACAGTTGTTAGTATACATAGTGCCTTCATGTATGTGTCTGTCTCTGTGTCCGTCATGGACCACCATGATGGTTAAGCATAATAATCATCTAAGATTACATTGCCAACTTGATTGATGGTTGCGCCTGGCAAGAGGTCGGGTTAATCATGCATGTGCGATTGATTGGTTGATTGATTGATGTGCCTGGCAAGAGGTCGGGTTAATTGGGTAGCTATGTATTGCGCATTTTTCTTCTCCTTTTTTTTCCTTCTTTGCACTTTTTTCATGTCTCCTCATGAGATCAACCCTTGTGGATCGTGGTTGCAAGGTGTGCTAGCTTCATAAGGCACATCAGTCAATCGAGTTGGCAAGAAGAGGTCGGCTTAATTATGCATATGCATGTGCTAGCTTCATAAAAAAGCTTCCCAATTTGAGTCGTCGCAATAGCAGAACTGCACGTATTGGCAGAGGAGGAAGAGAATCGCGTCAGGGAAAAAATAACAATGCTTCATTTCGATATCGGGCGATCGTCCGAGACAAATGTCCTTCACTTCGCGGAAACTGAAGTCACAAAACGGCGAGGGGTATGAACATGGGAACACTTGATCCACTAGAATTATCATCTTATCAATAATCTTAAATGGAGGACGAGGGCAATGCCCTAGTTGTATCGTCCACTCAACTACGAGAACGAAGTAGATGGAAGGAAATACAACTCGATGTGCTGTAAATAACACCAAGTCGAAGTCTGTTGTTGTTTTTATACATTTAGCGAGAGTACTGTCGGGAGGTGACGACATGAAAAAATGTCAAATTAATTTGCAAGTCCAGTTTCATAACCAGCGAAATCGGCGTCGGAGCGTTCGGGGTAGAAGGGCTACGAGACTAGCTACGGTATCACTCTGCTTCCAGCAAAAGATTACTTGTGGCAGTTTGATATGAAAGAATGAGATGAAAGCGAAGCATCCATTCAGTTCCGACGTGTTTTAGTAAAACAACTACAACTTCTACATCATTGGAGAACAACTCACTAATATCATGTTGTATAATATTAATACCAGACGGTTGAAGTGGAGTACGTAAACAAGGAAAAAGAAAAGAGGTGCTATAGTGGAAATGAACAGTGTGACCGTTATGGATCATGGTGGAACATGAAGCCAGGTGGTCATCTTTTCGAAGTTGTTACTGTTCGTAAGTATGGAAAAACAAAAAAATTCTACTCCTCCATAATGTTGTAGTGTGCGAAAGATTGGTCCAGCTGCTTCCGTGAAAACTCGTTCGCCATAGCGTGCGGCATCTGCTCTGATCTCGATGTAGGCAATTCCCAGGAAATTTCTCAACATCATTATTAGAGCCATTGTCTCGTCAGCTCCACCGTCCCTTAGATCTTCATGGTTTAGCTATTATTTTTGTATCACGATCGTCATCGTCCTTGAGTTCTTCTTGTGAGTCTCTACAGGGAAGGGATGAGGACGATTGAAGAAGAGGATCATTGTTCATCTAAAAAGGAGGTTAGGAAAGCCTTAACTTCGTTCCATCCTTGGTGCTTTCTTCAGGAGTGGTCCTCCATTTGCCGAGCAGCACGAGGAGAAGTCGTGGACGTGGGGGTCGTCCCTGCTCCTACTGCGCAGCTAAGGTCATCTTCATGGAGGTTTCTTGTTCCTTTTCCGTGGTAGTAGTTATCCTTTTCTATCAGCGTCGAACAACATGGACGAAGGCCTGTTGGTCCATGTTGTCTCATCATTCTTTCATTATATCAGATGCATTGATTTTTCGAGCCATTTGTTCTCTGGCCTTGTCAAAGAAACCTTTCAAGAGTATCATGCATCAATCTACGTTTCCACGAGTATGAGACGTCGTTCTGTCCGTCCTCAGTAGTTGTACTGTGATGTCGCTGGTGGGCGTAGATTCCTTCTCGTCTAGTGGATCGCCGGTGGATTCTTTCTCGTGTGGTAGATCTGATGTCGATGCTTGTCTGAGTTGCACAGAGACCAGCGTTGATTCTGAGGTCTGTGGCCCAGTGTGGTCTTTTTTCGGGTCTGGTTTGAAAAGTTGTAAGGGATGAAATGACTGCACTTTCCTAGAAAGCAGGCCAAGCCCCTATGAAAAAGCTACGCGCTTTCCCTTCTAAGTTGCGGAGAGTTGTGTCCTAAGTTGTGGCCTCAGTTGTGGAAGCTGTGCCGTAGCTTGTGGAAGCTGTGTCCTAAGTTGTCGCTGTGGAAGTTCTGGCCTAGGTTGTGGCGAGTTGTGGCCTAGGTTGTGGTGGGTCAGTTGCGTCCTGAGTTGTGAAAGTTGGGGGCTAATTTGTGGAGGTTGTGGGCCAAGCTGCGGCAGGTTTTGGCCTAAGTTGTGGAAGTTGTGAGCTAAGTTGTGTGAGGCAATCGTATGAAACAGCCAGACTTTATTCTCTGGCGCTTCAAATTTGAACAGCATGAGACTCCGAGGGACCGCGCGACAATTATGGCGTTCAAATCCGAGCAGCCCGATAGTGACGCGGGGCTTTTTCATACGCTTTCCGCCTGCGCACAACTCGCCGCCTCTACCTCATATCACGCGGCTCTTCGGAGTCTCATGGTGTCCAAATCCGAACAGCCGAAGAAGAGAGCGCGAATTATTCGTGAGACTTCTATGTACGACTTCGGTCACCACTTCCACAACTTAGCGCACAGCTTCCATGATCGATCGACAAACACGCGCGCGATGATGTCATAGGGGACCGGCCTTCCTAACTTTCATTATCTTTAGTACCAATTTTTTGGGGATATGGGAGCTGTGTGCTTTGTCATGTTTTTCGTTTTATGTAGTAAGAAGTATCTCTATGCAGATGCCCGTATTGTATTTTCTATCCTGTGCTGGTATCTTCATGCATGTTGTGCATGTTCTTCCCTTGGCTAAAATATGATCTTCTCATCCAGTTCATATTATCACTATGGTCATCTTTCTCGTGCTGGCGATCAATGTCTATGTCGTATTTGTATTATACAACACCGCAATAATCTTCGTACAAGACCCGTATTCTTGATAGATGAGCTTCGTTCTATACAGTCTGAATGTTACAAAAAGAAACGAGACAACTAATAATGCCAGAAAATTCTGCCATCGTCCATGCATATGATGCTCATAATGTTGACACTCATTGAATTTGAAGAGAGAGTGTCAGTGATTGAATTTCAGAAAAAATAAATTTGAGGCACAAGATGTCGAGGCCTTTTGGTTTTAGGCCCAAAATCTTCTGTGCTGCAAATGTCGAATTATGATCAAGAGGAGCTGCAAAAACAAAATATTCAAATGATACATCAGTGGACTACATCAAACTACTATACAATCTATAATCACCTCCAGGCTATACAGTAGACAAAATCAAGATGTTGTGACATTTTCTCCGCCTGATCGCAATCGGATGTAGTTCTCGCGTGTATGAGTTATTGTCTCACCTGAAAATAATATGCCCTCGTTTGAAATGGAATTGAAAACTTCTTAGGATTCGGAGGTAGTACTCGTAGATTAATATATTCCTCAACGAGCCTCCTCTTCTATGACAAGTATAACCTAGGTCGTGTATTATTATTATTATTCTGTTCGCGCGCGACCCTACCGCCTCGTGTATCCGAATAGGAACTATCCATGACAAGAGTGATGCTGTAGGTCGCGTGTACCCTGTTAGAAGTCGAAGTGTGTACTTGATGTGTGAAGAAAGCGCTTGTCTGTGTTGTTCATGAAAAAGATGTTATGAAGACTTCTGAAGGCGTTGTTCTTGCGTGAATAAATGTTGATGAATAAATGTTGACAGTACCTTCGCACTACATCATGATGGAGATGCTGCGTGACTAAAAATACAACAGAGAAGATTTGTTGACAATCGCACTACTACAACAATAGATCATAGATGTTGATGATGACTACAACGATAGCTGATGACTAAAATATGAAAGCTTCTAGTTGTTCATCTACCAGCTCGACGTCCTGCTAGTAGTGGTCGTGGTTGATCTCGATGTTTACCTGACAATAAATTTCTATCACCCGCAAGCAGGTGTCTAGAAGACTGCTTCACCACTCCAGCTTCTTGTCTAGGATGTGTCTCTTGTTGGATCCTGCTTCTCCTCTTGGATCCTGCTTCTCCTCTTGGA